AAAGATGAGTTCATCTAATTGTTGCAACAAGGGGTGGAGGGGGGAAGCACACCTGAGTCAGCAGGATTAATTTACCATTTGGCCTTGTTGGTCTGGGGATCATGGGAAGTGCAATCGTATGCTTCTGGAGGGCCGCCAGGTTTGGAAAAGTTGCCCTACAACAATGGGGTGAGATCGTTTGAGCTCCGAGGGAGAACAGACCCAAAGGAACTTTGTAACTCATACTGCTGAAACTGGAAATAGAAGTGGCACTTTGGGGGACCTACAAATCCCAGAAGCCCCCCATGGCCACCACAACCCACCCTTCTGGGAGGAGGTGTCCCTTTGCCATGCTCTGACCCCAGCCCTCTCCCCATTCTCTCTCTCCCCCTGCTGCTTCCTGCTTTCCTTTCAGACAATCCTCTCTCCCATCCTCTCCCACCCTACCCCCCCATCAGCATCCTGCCCCTGCATAGTTAAACAACACCCACTTCCTAGTTCAAGATTGGGACATGATTTGGCCAAGTGTATTGAGCGGACTCCTGTCCATTCGTTAAAACTTTGATTGGGTCTTGTTTCTGCACCCTTATGTTGCGCTACTTTGCTTCCACCCGTGCTGTTTGTGCAGGTGCCAGTGAAACCAGCAGCTGCAAGGGGGGGGAGAGAGATTATGAAGCCCCAAGCTGCACCCCTATTAAATTCCAGGGCATCTGTTGCTGGAAAAGATGGGTCGAGGGATTGTGTGCACAGTGACAAATCTCTCTCTCTCTCCTTCTGGCCCAGCCAGGGCTCAAGTCTGTTTTATGCCTTTGGCTTCTGAATCTTCTATTCCTTTGCTTCACTTACTACTCCATGCACTAATCGATGCAGGCAAATTAAAGAAGCAAAAACAAAATTGGAGGCTTGCCAAAAGAATTTGATTCATGGCTTGCTTCCAGGATTTTTTAATGGGCTGGCAGCATGCCTTCCTTGGCAAAATGTAAGCACAGAATCCTACTATTTCCGCATGCCGGTGTAGGTCAAATGGTGTAAGCTGCAACAGGGACGTGCCACAAATTAAGAAGTCAGCACTGATATTTCTCCTTGCATATCAGGTTATGTGACTGCTGTGCAATATAAAGCAGTGGCGGTTACAAAGATATTTTTGGGGTGTAAAGTAACATTTAAGTTACTTGGGTGTTGTGAGTAACTTTAAAAGGACATTTTAAGGCATTGGGTGGTAAATGTTCAGCTTCTACACCTTATCAGTCCTAAGTGACAAGAGAAGTATTCTGTTTTTCCATTCATATGCTTACAAATATTTCCATGGTGCAATATCAAAACTGGCCATTAGAGGGAACCAGAAAGTAGTTGTCTGTACTTTCCCTGTTGACAAGACCCATGCAACACACTAACCCCAAGGTGATGAACTACTTGCATGATCAAAGCAAGAATAATAATTGTTGCAGCATGGCTACTGAGAAGTAATGAGTAGTGCAGTGAGTTCTTTTTAAAATGTAACTGTTCTGAGCTCTGATGGTAACACACTGGTGATAGAACTCCTTTTTAGAATAGATTCATTTGCCTTATGGCCTACTAGCTAAAACGTATTAATTTTAGTCAACTTTCAGAGTGTATGTAAGCCTTTCTTTTCTGCTGGTTGCTTTTATTGCTGAGTGGGGCAATTTGTGAAGCAGGAAGTGGGGACATCAGTCTCAAATATCAGGGGTTGCCTTCCCACCCCTTCCTAAGTCCCATGTGATTGCTAGTGTCCTTGTATTTTAAGTGTGCTTTATGTTGTTGTGTTCTTTGGGTCCCTTTGAGGAACAAGAGGATACAAATAAAATAAAACCAGTCTACCTAGCCATGAACAACATTCATATTAATAAAAATAAAACCTGAGCAATCTAAAACCAAGTCAGTAATTCAGAATAATCACCATTATCAAAGCAACAAACAGCAAAGGGAAAAAACAAAAAGAAATACTTTGGATGTTGCCTGGAGCACCTTGCAGGAAATGTGGAGGTGAATGAATGAATGAATGAATGAATGAATGAATGAATGAATGAATGAATGAATGGTGCCACCAAGTACTAAAATGATTAAAGAGTGCAATCTAAACAACATGGTAGTAAGGGACTGATAACATCTGTCAAGTTTTGCTTCTTTCCTCACTAGCTTTTTTTTTAACCCTCAGGCTCTTTCCATTCCATTTATGGGTAGGGAAGGGAGAGTTACGATAAGTCCAAACCAAACTGAACCAGGTTCCAAACCATCAGCAGCAAGTAAATTCCGTGGACACAGCTGGTTCCAGAATGATATTGTAACTGCGTGCCATGAAGCTTCCTAAAGGGCATCAGCCTGTTTGGGGGGGGGGGGGAGAAAAGGGGGTTTGAGGTGAACTACAAATATGATTGAAAACACAGGTGTTCTCAGCCTGATGTTCTCCCTGGATCGGTGGGTTTTATTTTAAATCTCAAGTCTGCAACTTTAGATATTTAACGAGAAACAAAAATTTGCTCTCATCTATCCTCTTGAAGAAATGTCATTTCAAAGACTGGGGCCACATGTCAGGAGCCCCTGTTCAGCATTCCCACCAAAGGGCACACAAAAGGTAGTGGGGGATAAGGGGGGGAAGCTTTGCTGCTGAGCTTGGGAAAAAGGAACTTTTGCAAACAACTTTCAGTCCCCCCTCCCCCGCTTTCAATTCACTACTGGTCATGTTGGTTGGAGGTTGCTGGCAGCTGGGAGCCAGAAACTACTTTACCTGGGTGGTTATGCTCTTTGAAAATTGCAATCCCCAGTTTAGAATGTTCTTTATTCCCTTCAGTTTATACTATTGCTGCAAGGTAGCCAAAAGTTTAACCATTAAAATATCTTTTTCTTCCTTCACTGCACCCCCAAGCTGGGGAAAAGCTTCACCGACTGAATTGTGGCTAAAACAGAGAGAGAGAGAGAGAGAGAGAGAAAATGATTTGTTTCAACTGTAGTGCTGAAGGAGAGTTTTGTGGATATTTTGGTCATCCAGAAAGATGAACAAGTAGCTCCTAGATCAAATCAAGCCTACACTTTCTCTGGAAAAAGAAATGATTAAACCAAGGCTGTCATATTTTGGCCAGATCACAAGAAGGCAAGACTCGCTGGAGGTGCCAACCATGCCAGGAAAAGTTGCAGGCAGCAGGAAAAGAGGAAGACCAGATATGAGATTGATTCATTCCATAAAAGAAGCCATGGCCTCGCCTTTACAGGAGCTGAGCAGGGCTATCCAGGATTCATTGGGTTTCCATAAATCAGACAGTTTGGTGGAACACAAGAATAACAGTAACACGCTCTTTTCTTGAATTACATCATAGCCTGACTTATGTACTGCTTCAGAAGGATTATCCTTGTTGCTGATAAAGATTAGCACTGCCCCCTCCCTCATTCTTTAATGAACATTCATCAATGGCTAACTAACATCCTGAAGACTTAGAGCATTTAACCTCTGGGTGTTGAGGAAAGTCTGAAGCATGTTTTGGGTACATCAAAGGCACAGACAGAGGGAGGAAGACTGACTGAGTAATCCTTAGCCTCTCTTGAAAGAGGTCAACCAAAAACCCCACAGCTTTCCTACAAAGATTCAGGTTTAGTCACCGTGGGTGGGAATCCCATCCGTTTTTCCTTTTCCTGACAGCACAGAGATTTACTAGAACAACAAAATAAGCTGATGAAAGAGGCAACTGTTCTGTTCTAAAAATCAGAATCTATTTAGCCCTAAACCCACAACAGAAGAGAGATTTTGAACCAAAGAGCTTGAGTAAATATGCCCAAGGAACCTGGATGAGATTTTAAAATAAATAAAATAAATAGTGCTGCTCCATATATATTCATGATCAGGTGATAACTGTATTAGGAACCACTAAAATTATGTCACCAACAATAGTATCCATGATCTTTTCATGCATCTTGGCGAAAAAAGCAATTTTGGGCATGGCGGTGGAGGGGTTTGGGGACTTGTAATGCAACAATTAGCAGAATTATAGATAAACAGGGATAAGGAAGTACTGTGCATAGATTTAAATTCAGGTGATTTAAAGTGATGCCCAAAAGTTAAAGGCCACTCTCTCCTCTACAAATATTTCACCCTCTCTAGCCTGAAAGCAAACATTACTAATGCTTCTTATTAAAAACCACAAAGATGGGCCCATGTTCTAATTAGTTGCCTCATTTGCCCTGAAGTCAAGACAATGCTGGTTTTTGCTCAGGCGCACTATCTTTTCATGAAATTCCTCCCCTGAACTTTGTCCCAAAGGACTCCAGATGGCAGGTGACAGTTTCCTTAAGAGAGCAGTCCGTTGACAACAGCACCGGTGCAGTACAACTTTTGAAAAGCGAACAAGCACCAAATGAAACAAAACAACCAGCTTTTAAGATGCTTGGAGCAACTACTTAGGAATTCACCTGGGAAAGTAGAAGGACAACACTAGCCACAATGAAACCACTGTCTTTAATTTTGTTAATAGTTTCCAAAAACCTTGGAAGGAATGGAGATTACCACCCTCCGTTTCATGTATAGGCGGTCGGAGGGAAAGAAAGAGAAGACTTCTTTATAAGCAGAAATTCTTCCAATACTTGAGCACTAATTAGTCAAGACCTTTTCTGAAGGGCTTTGGGATGTGTGCGAATTTGCAGTGTACTTGGGATCAACTGAACTGCAGCTTTCGTAAGAAACTGACTGCCAGCTTTCATTATACAATCATCCAGGCTGTTTAAATCACTGTGAATTTTAAATAGCTATTGTTCCATAAAGATGGAGGGGAGGGTTTCTAATTGCTTGTGCATTACATCTCTTTTTTGTTTGTTTGTTTATGAGAGACTAACAGCAAAGTCCTACAAAGATATTTTCAAAAAGAAATCTCATTGAGTTCAGTGGGGCTCCTGCCATAGGAAATGGGCACTAGATTGCAACCCCCCCCCTTCAGTCAGTGGCCAGGCCAAAGGTAATTAGTAAAGGGAACACAAAAGGTTTAAGAAGACAAGTTTGGGGGAAAACAGAACATTACCTGGTTGTACTCAAGATCTCCAAAGACAAAGGCAGCTGCTATGCAAAAAAAATTAAAATAAAATAAAAAACTCAAAAACAAAGCAAAACTAATTTCTCACTGCAGGCAGGCAAAAAATCTTGACACATAAGAACTCCAGATTGTTCAAAGGCATAAAACAGCCAACATCGGTAGCCAGATTCCTCGCATGCTGTTCATGCGTCCCTTCCCCCAGAGATCCCCCAGAAATGTGTGAGCCCCACAGACAAAAGAGGAATGGTCTGGAGTTGAAAGCTAAGTGGTCTCTCTGGATGCCAGCTGTGGCTGCTGTTCCTGCCACGGGTCTCATCTGAAGGGGAAGATCCCAGCGCAGGGAGATAAAACCCCGCTCGGCAAACTTAAAGGCAAAGTTCAGCAGCTCTGCACTCAAGTGGAGGATCTCTCCTATAGCCGAAGAACTTTATCCCCTCCTCAGCTAGAAGGGCTCGGCTTGAGGCCAACCCCGGGGCTCAGAAAATTAAAAACAAGCGCCAGCCGATTCTGACTGCCTCGTGATTATTCACCCACATCGTACTGCAAAGGCAGGTGGCCATGAAATGCTTTCTGCGTCTCACTCGGCTCAGGGGTTTCCATCCCCACTGAGAGGACAAAAATCCTCCCCCAGCGTAGAAGCATTGTGTGTTTTGAGCCAGGTGTAAAAATCCACACCTGCAAACCTTCTGGGCCAGGAGTGCGGTATCCATCACCATCCTGAGGCTGTGGGACTCTGCCTCCCATCAGCTAACCAGAATGTTTGGGGATCATAGGCACTGTAGATCAGCAACCTCTGGAGGGCTGCCAGTAGCCCATCCCTGCTTCTAACCTTTCGGTCTCTGGTTGTTCCAAATGCCGTAAGGCCAGATGCTAAAAGGAGAAACATTGTTTTGATTGGCGTCAATGGTCTCAGCCCCTTTTAAAGAATAAAGCATTGCTGGCCACTTAGGATTTTCTGGGCAGACGTCAAAGAGGCCAGCAGCAACACTCCTGCCTCCCCGAGGAGAGTTCCTGAACATCTGCGGACCCAGGAGAACACTGTGTGAGAAAGACAGTGAGGGCTGCCTCCCCCCGGCTGCTGCATGCTCTACCTGTAGGACTCTTGCCCGTGAACTCCCATGGCTTCCACCTTTTAGCAGGACTAGGGCCTGGCTGTAAGTCGGCTGCCCCCACCTTCCTCTCCCACTGAGACCTGCCACCTTGCTGGGGGAGAAGCAGCAGCAACAGCAGCAGCCGCCCCCACCTTTAAAAGCACAGCTCCTGGGTGGGTGTTCGGATCTGGCACCAGAGAGATGTTAGGGTGAGAGGCAGACTTTTTGCACAAAGGGACTTTAAAAAACAAAAACTGCCCGCATGCTGTGTTCATCCACATTGTTCTATGGATAAGGGTCACTGTCCGCTGTGGGAAAGGTGTATTCTTTAAATAGGGAGGATGACTAGGGGGAATAAGGCGCTGCCATCGGAAGAATACTGGGTAGAGGGAGATACGGCGAGGAGAGACAATTATATTATTATAGACGTAGGGGAAAGAATAGGATCCCAAATGGTCTCTCGGCTCAAAGTCTGGATAGTCTTGGCAAGGGTCCTTCCCCCCGGATTCAAAATGCTTTCATTAAATGCCAAGTCAGTAAATGGAAAAACAAGAGCCATCCAGAACCCCATCCTGCATGAATATCCCAATCAGTCTCACGTTAGGGAGACTTGGTTGGGTGAGGCGGGTGTGTGTGTGTTAATNTGAGGCGGGGGGGGTGAGTGTTAATCTCAGTCAGCTTTCTCCCCGTTTTTTTTTTTGGTGGAGCAGCAGGTGAGACCTTTAGGGAGGGGAGAGGAGGGGGAGTTGCAGTGTTTGAATGTGGGTCTCTGAAAGTGAGAGGCCAGGACAGAATAATATGGAGTCTGTCGGTGTCCTGCCTGCCCTGCTCCTCAACTGCCTCCCTTCCTGAGCTAGCTGAGCTGGTCTCCTGGTGTGGTGGTGGAGTTTTTTTTTTTTTGGTGGAGCAGCAGGTGAGACCTTTAGGGAGGGGAGAGGAGGGGGAGTTGCAGTGTTTGAATGTGGGTCTCTGAAAGTGAGAGGCCAGGACAGAATAATATGGAGTCTGTCGGTGTCCTGCCTGCCCTGCTCCTCAACTGCCTCCCTTCCTGAGCTAGCTGAGCTGGTCTCCTGGTGTGGTGGTGGAGTTTCCTAGTCTTGTTGTGCTGGGGGACTTCAACATCCACACTGAGGCAGCTATCTCAGGAGTGGCTCGGGATTTCATGTCCGCCATGATGACCGTGTCCTAAATGACATCTAGCCCCCTCCCCACCCTCCATGATGTAGACCTGGTTTTCTGTACTGGGTGTTGGTGATCTGGGTGTGGAGGAACTCCCTGTACAGTAATTCCGTTGTCATGGACAGATCATCATCTGGTGGGGCTTAGACTCCCTGGAACTCGGAGCCTCTGCAGGGGTGGGAGACCAATTAAGATAATCCACCACCGGGAAGCTGATGGATCCAAATGCTTTCCTGATGGCTCTTGGGGAGTTTCCTGTTGCCTTGGCAGGTGATGCTGTCGAAGCCCTGGTTGATCACTGGAATGGGGAAATGGCCGGAGCTGTTGACACAATTGCTCCTAAGCATCCCCTCCCACGAAGCAGAGCCGAACTGGCCTCCTGGCGTACTGGGGAGCTAGTGATGGTGAAGCAAATGGGATGGAGACGAGAGCAATGATGGCGGAAAACCTGGGAGTGAATCCGACCGAACACAGGCTAGAGCCCATCGGAAGGCCTATTCTGTGGCAGTGGCGAAAAATAATTTGTCTGCACAGAGCTGGCTGGCTGAGCTCTTTTCAGTGGTCAAGGGTCAATTAGATGTTGGCCTGCAGGAAGAGAATGCAGACCACACTGTACCTCGCTGAGCAAAAAATTTGCAGAGCACTTTGCAGGCAGAATCACTCAGATCCATTCTGATGTGGATATTGTAGTTGATACAGGTCCTGTGCATGTAACTATGGCCACTGCTTATTCTGTGTTAATGGATAAGTTTCAGTTTTTACAAATGATGTGGTCAGGACCCTTGGAGGGGGGAAGGCTGTCACATGTCTGTTGGACTCTTGTCCTTCCTGGATTATAAAAGCTGCCAGAAAGAGATTGACTGGTCAAGTGGGTAGGCGGAGTGGTGAATACCTCCTTGAAGCCAGGTAGATCCCAGCAGGAGGCAATAGTAAGATTGGTGCTGAAAGATCCCTCCTTGGACTGGACCCCACTGGATAATTATTGCCCCATCTCTAATATTCCATTCTCAGGCAAGGTGATGGAGCGGTTCATGGCTTCTCAGCTCCAGGGGTTCCTGGACAAGACAGGTTATTTAGATGCATTTCAACCTGGCTTCACGTCTGCTTATGGGATGAAGTCAGCTTTGGTTGTCTTGATGGATGACCTATGCCAGGAACCAGACAGGGAGAGTGTGTCCCTGTGGGTTCTGCTAGATCTTTCAGCGGCTTTCAATACCACTGGGATGGGAGTTGACAGCACTGTTCTATAGTGGCTCTGATTCTTCCTGGAAGGGAGAACTCAGAAGGTTGTGCTGGTGGACTTCTGTTAGACACCCTGGCCATTGGCTGTAGGGTCCCTCAGGGTTCTGTTGTGTCCCTTATGCTATTTAACATCTAGATGAAACCTCGGGGAGAGGTTGTGCTGAGTTTTTGGGATGCAGCCTGTACTGGATGGGGTTACACTCCCTCTGAAAACACAGGTGCTGAGCTTGGGGGTGGGGGGAGCTCCTGGATTTATCTCTGAGCCTGCATGTGCATGTTTCATCAGTGGCCAGGAATGCCTTTGCACAGTTAAAACTAGTGATCTGGCACATCTAGATGAAACCTCGGGGAGAGGTTGTGCTGAGTTTTTGGGATGCAGCCTGTACTGGATGGGGTTACACTCCCTCTGAAAACACAGGTGCTGAGCTTGGGGGTGGGGGGAGCTCCTGGATTTATCTCTGAGCCTGCATGTGCATGTTTCATCAGTGGCCAGGAATGCCTTTGCACAGTTAAAACTAGTGATCTGGCTACAGTGACACACGTCCTAATTATATCTTGGCATACATGCTCTATGTGGGGCTGCATTTGGAAAGTGTTCGGAAACTCCAGCAGGTCCAAAATGCAGCTGCCAGATTGCTAACTGGGGCTGTTTACAAGGAACATATAACTCCTCTGTTACAACAGCTCCACTGGCTGCTGATCCATTTCTGGGCACAATTCAAAGGGCTAGTTCTAACCTACAAAGCAGCGGTCCCCAACCTTTTTGGGGTCATGGACAGGCTGGGGGGAGCGAGCTCTATGCGCAGGGGGAGTGGGGGCACCCCCGTGCGAACGTGGTGGCCATGTCATGTTCATGCGGTGGGTGTGCCATGTTTGTGTGGGCGTGACATGGCCACTGCACAGGCGGGGGCAGAGATTTGTATCAGTGGCTCAGTTCCAGCAAGCCCATGGACTGGCACCGCACCGGAGACCGGGGGTTGACGACCCCTACTATAAAGCCCTAAATGGCTTTGGACCGAGCTATTGCAGGGATTGTGTCTCCCTTTATGAGCCTGCCTGGGTGTTAAGATCATGAGGGGAGGCTTTTCTCTCAGCCCCACCACCCTCACAGGTGCATTTGGTTGGGGATACAGGAGAGGGCCTTCTCTGTGGCTGCTCCCAGACTTTGGAACTCCCTACCACCTATCTTTGCTGTTCTTCTGCAAGCAGGTGAAGACCTTTCTCTTCAGGCAGGCTCTCCCTCAGTGACTGGCTTTGTGAAAGGAATTTTAAACAGAGTGTTATGCTTTGTTGCTTTGAATCTGTTTTTGGTGTTGGTTTTGTTTACCATTTTTAGTGTGGTCCCAGATTATTTTTAATATTTGTATACACACTGTTTTTAGCTTTTAAATATTGTATTTTAATGATGTAAGCTGCTTTGGGTGAAAGGTAGGGTAAAGAACTAAAACAAACAAACAAACAAACAAACAAACAAACAAACAAACAAACGAATGAATGAATGAATGAAT